GGGGATTTGGGGTCAGGAATTGGGGATTTAGGGTGGGATTTGGGGCTGGGAATTTCAAGGATTTGGAGCTGGGAATTGAAGGGTTTTGAGATGGGAATTGAACAGATTTGGGATGGAAATTGGGGCTCACCGACCACTTGGACATGTCACAAATCTGAATGCTCTCATCCCTGAGCCCGATCCCATAACCCAAATCCCCATCCCATATTTCTGACCCCAATCCCATAATTCTGACCCTAAATCCCAAATCCCAATCCCATATCCTGTACCTTTTGGACATGTCCCAGACCCTGATGCTCTTGTCCTCGGAGTTGCTGAGGATCAGCTCGTGCCGCGGGTGGAACACGGCCCTGATCCATATCCCATATCCCATATCCCATATCCCATATCCCATATCCCATATCCCATATCCCATATTTCTGACCCCAATCCCATATTTCTGACCCCAATCCCACAATTACCTTTTGGACATATCCCAAACTCTGATGCTCTTGTCCTCGGAGTTGCTGAGGATCAGCTCGTGCCGGGGGTGGAACACGGCCCTGATCCCATATCCCATATCCCATATCCCATATCCCAAATCCCAAATCCCAATCCCAAATCCCAAATCCCCAATCCCAATCCCATAATTACCTTTTGGACATGTCCCACACCCTGATGCTCTTGTCCTCGGAGTTGCTGAGGATCAGCTCGTGCCGCGGGTGGAACACGGCCCCGTTCCCATATCCCATATCCCATATCCCATATCCCATATCCCATATCCCAATCCCATAACTCTGATCCCAAATCCCAAATCCCAAATCCCAAATCCCAAATCCCCTGTACCTTTTGGACATGTCCCAGACCCTGATGCTCTTGTCCTCGGAGTTGCTGAGGATCAGCTCGTGCCACGGGTGGAACACGGCCCCGTTCCCATATCCCATATCCCATATCCCATATCCCAAATCCCAATCCCAAATCCCAAATCCCCAATCCCAATCCCATAATTACCTTTTGGACATGTCCCAGACCCTGATGCTCTTGTCCTCGGAGTTGCTGAGGATCAGCTCGTGCCGGGGGTGGAACACGGCCCCGTTCATATCCCATATCCCATATCCCATAACCCCAATCCCATAACTCTGATCCCAATCCCATAATTCTGACCCCAATCCCACAATTACCTTTTGGACATGTCCCAGACCCTGATGCTCTTGTCCTCGGAGTTGCTGAGGATCAGCTCGTGCCGCGGGTGGAACACGGCGCACGAGACGTTGTTGTAGTGACCCCGACACGTGTCCACTTCCCACGCCTTGGACTCTGCGGGGAAATGGGGAAAAATGGGAAAAAAATGGGAAAAATGGGAAAAATGGGGGAAAAAAACAGCAGGAATGGGAAAAAATGGGAAAAAATGGGGAAAAAATGGGAAAAAACCCAGCAGGAATGAGGAAAAATGGGAAAAAATGGGAAAAAATGGGAAAAAATGGGGCAAAAATGGGGCAAAAATGGGGAAAAAACCAGCAGGAATGGAAGAAAATGGGAAAACATGGGAAAAAACAGGGGAAAAAATGGGAAAAATGGGGAAAAACAGGGAGAAAATGGGGGGAAAATACGGGAAAAACAGCAGGAACGGGGGAAAACCAGGAGAATGGAGAAAAATGGGAAAAAAATGGGGAAAAATGGGGAAAATGGGGGGAAAATGGGAAAAAAACACAGGAATGCCAGGGGAAATCAGGAATGGGATTGGGAAATTGGGATTGGGGTCAGGAAATTGGGAATGGGCCAGGAAAATTGGGGTTTTTTGGGAATTCTCTCCAATCCCACCCCATTTTTTCCCATTTTTTTCAGGATTCTCTCCAATCCCACCCCATTTTTTCTCATTTTTTTTGTTTTTGTTCAGGATTTTCTCCAATCCCACCCCATTTTTTTGTTTTTTTCAGGATTCTCTCCAATCCCACCCCATTTTTTCCCGTTTTTGGGTGTTTTTTTTGGGATTTCTCACCGTTCATCCTCCAGATCTTCACCTGGCGATCGTCGGCGCCGGACACGATGAGCGGCATGGACGGGTGGAACGCGGCCCAGTTCACACCCCGGTC